CCGCTGCGGCTCTCTGTTGGCGGGCGCGCAGCGAGTGGCGTTTCCGTTCGGCCATCCAAGTGCTGCTTTCCAGCCCTAAGCGTGAGACCTCCTCCCGGTGTTCCTAGGGCTGTGCTCGTGCGGGGAGGAGGACGGCCGGACCCGCGTCGTGGAAGCTGCTGAGCGCTCGCCGACATGGTGGTTTTCGCGTGCAACGCGTGCGGAGAGTCTGTGAAGAAAGCGCAAGTGGAGAAACACGTGAACGTCTGCAGGAACTGTCAGTGCCTTTCCTGCATGGATTGCGGCAAGGATTTCTGGTAGGCAAAGGAGGGGAAATGGTCCTGCTCACTCTGCAGTGGTTGTCGCAAATACGAGGTTTACCTGTGGTGTGTTAGAATTAAATTTGGCAGTTTCTGAATAATTCATATTTGTATTTAAAAATTATGCATGTTTTTATATCATGTCAAGCTTAATCATCCAAGTTTGAACCACAGGGACAACTAAACCACACAGTAAACAGTTGTAGTTTCTTTTACAGTTATAAGTGACAGTGCTTTCAGCTTCTGATCATTAACAACTGCTACCTATTCTGTTCCTGCAGAGAGCGTGAGATTGGCACTAACATAAAAAATTCTGAATTTGATTGTCACTTCTCAGAAGAAAGCAGTGTTACTGTCTGCTTTCAAAATATAAATACATGAATTTGTGTAAGAAAGTAAGATTATCCTCAAATAATGATTATATTTCTCAATGCTTCACTGACAAAAATTAAGTTCTATGTTTTTTATTCCTTTTGGGGGCACTTACACGTTGGTCAAAACTACACTACCACATTAGTGTATCTATATTTAGGAATTAGGGTTTTGCAAACATTTTTTACCCGTTTTTCTAATTTTAACGTGTCAATGTAAGTAGTACAGCACAGATATGCATTTATAGCTGCGCTTGTGTTACATGTACAAATGTGCGTTAGTTGTAGAGTCATTATAAAATCAGCAGTATACTGAAGACCGGTTTTACAGATCAGGATTTTCCACTGGAGGCTGTAGCATGACAAATGTCAGCAGTCTTATAAGCACGTACGTTAGGCATGACAAACTTTACGCGTATGAGCATTGACAGTATGAAGGTTTAAATGTTCAATGTCATCATCTGTTACTTCAGTTTGTCGATTACATGAGTCTTACGTAGTTCGAAGGACTGAAACACTTTAGTGAACTACAGTTAAAAATCTCCTATTTTCAGGGGTGATGATTACAAGGAGCACGTGAAGTGCATAAGTGAAGACCAGAAATATGGTGGAAAAGATTTTGAAGCCAAAACTAACAAAGGGTTTGTACTGTATACTGATATGATAAATAACTGTTGTTTATAGTCACTAAAGACACACAAGAGAGGCTGTGCTGGATCAAACCAGAGATATCTTCTACCCAATATCCACAGCTGTCTTTTGGCAATTCCTTGGTAGGTCTATTGCTTATCCTGGCAAGAAACACACCTTTTGTTTGTTTTGATCTGTCTCCTACCAGTTTGATTTGGTGTTCTCTAGGTCTTGCATATAAAGAGGCATTGATCATTGTCCGCCCTCTTCACGCCACATACGCTTTTGTAGACCTCTGTCAGGCATCCCTCGCCATCTCATCGTCTCTATTCCAGGCTGAAAAGTCCTATCCTGCTTAGTTGTTCTTCGTATGTAAATTATATCTTTGGTCCTCTGAAGTCTTCCCAGTTCTATTGTATCCTTGTGAAATGAGATTACAAGAGCTACATAAGCTGTTCAAGATACGGATGAACCATAGGTTTACTTGTTGTCGTAATGATGTTTTCTGTGTCCTTCTTTATTCCTTTCTTACAAGTTTTTGTCAGTTGATCTACTTTCTTTTTCACTGCTGCTGATTGTTGTGCTGGCATTTTCATGGAACTGGCTATGTTAACCCCAAGATCTTGTGTCTAAGCTCCAGTGATCAACTTAAAGCCTGCCAGATGTGAAGTGAGGATTGCTTTTCCTGTGCCTGCTGCTTTACACGAATTTGTGGTGAATTCAACGCAACTTTTTATTCTTTCTGGAATAATTCATAGTCCTCATCCTGAATAGCTTCCTATCATCAGGAAAATTTTCTTGCGCTCTTTTCAGATATTTTGTAAATATGTTGAACAGCACAGGGTGTAGCATGGATCACAGGAAATGTCTCCTACCCTTTCTGTCTTCATGTAGGTATTTATCGTGTGCAAGAACCTGCCCTCTTATGGCTGTTAGTTTCCGTTAAAGGTTTTAGGAAGGAACTCTGAAACATGTTTTTAAAACCGCATTAGGTGTAATTAGTCAGATCACCTGCATCCACGCATTTGTTGATTTCTATCTCATGTAGAACACAATCTTAACAAAGTACTAAGCTACATGCACACTCAAGGCATATGAATAATATGATTGAAGTCCACAGATTAGTGCCATTGTTGAGATTAAACATTGTCTGAGTACATTGTTCAAAGGGAGTATAATGTGACACTATTCTTATGAAAATTGTTAGCCTTCCTCAATAGAGTACTTTCTACACAGAAAGGTGAGGGATTATTACAGAGCGTCCTTTTCTGGTAGCCTGAACACATCCACAAAACCTTTCAGTAAACAGATTTTCAGAAGCATGGGAAGGCTCTCCAGTGGCTACATCTTTGAATAATGGGAAGCTCGTAGCTTTTTTTCCCTGTGAGCAGCGGTGCTGTTCAAGTAACTGCCACAAGGCCCTGGCCTGACCCCCTCTGTTCTCTTGTGCTGGCACCCGTAGCATGGGAATATGCCTGAGCTGTCTTATGGGGGGGTTAATGGTTGTTTAAGCTGGCACTGCTGCCAGAAGAAATGCATGTCAAACTGTGGCCTCAAAGTTAGCCTGATTTTTCACAATTAAGTCCAGAAGTTTGCAAAAACCAATCAGTTGACAGTTGCTTTTCTTAATGCAGGTCTTTTTCACACTGTAAGAATCCGCTACGTTATAGAGTTACTTTACTTTTAAATGTATTTATTACAGGTTGTAACTCATAAACCAGAAAGCATTGGTGAGCAGTCCTGCTTTCCTCTGCTTACTATAAAGGTACAAATATTTATATAGATAACTTTGAGGCATCGTATGATCTGTGATACACAGAATCACAGAATGTTCAGGGTTGGAAGGGACCTCTGTGGGTCATCTAGTCCAACCTCCCTGCCGAAGCAGGGTCACCTACAGCAGGCTGCACAGGACCTTGTCCAGGCGGGTCTTGAATATCTCCAGAGAAGGAGACTCCACAACCTCCCTGGGCAGCCTGTTCCAGTGCTCCGTCACCCTCAGAGGGAAGAAGTTCTTCCTCATGTTCAGACGGAACTTCCTGTGCCTCAGTTTGTGCCCATTGCCCCTTGTCCTGTCGTTGGGCACTACTGAAAAGAGTCTGGCCCCATACTCCTGACACCCACCCTTCAGATATTTGTAAACATATATTAGGTCCCCTCTCAGCCTTCTCTTCTTCAGGCTGAACAATACCAACAGTTAGTGTTCTTTCCCATGTGCACTGAACAGTTCTTTCGAGCAGGCTATACAGTGTGTGGGTACTAGGTGATTTCTGTCCAGTGTGTTTCCGACTTGCATACCTTGTCTGTATCATTTGATCATTATGCTTCTTTGCCTACTTAATTCTGGTTTTCTTCATTCAGAAAGTTCATGAAGTAATGAAGAAGCCAAACATTAGCCCTAAAGTGCGGAATGTCCTGCAGCAAATGCGTGTCTTTGATAATATTCCAAGAAAAAAAGTAAAGTTTCAGGTATGTTTTAATAGAGATTTGTAGTAATCCATGCAGTGATCTTAAAAATAGGTTTTAACGAGTGCCACTCTCTTTTAACAAAAGGTGGGACAAACTGCTGGTTTGGGCATTGGGAAACAGATGGTGTAATAGCTGAGTTTCAAATAGGCGATGTTTGTAAAATACATCTTGCTTAAAAAGACTCTTCTGTGTGCCATTTTAATTAGGTATTAAGCCAGACTCACTATTACAAGCTTAATCTCCATATGTAGGCTTGCTGTTTTTCTAATACCTTTCTTTTTTTCTATTTGCAATTTCTATTGAATGTCCAAATTCTTAGTTGTACTTTTAAAGGATTCTTATTTCTGTGGCTTTGTTTTGTTCCTGGTAAAAGCAAGATACTGTTTCGAGAGTTTTCCTGTTGCTCAGTATCCTGACAGATTCTCCCACACTGGATGCTTCACTAAACTTTGCATCACAGCTAAAGCAAATTCCAAATGTTTTGTGGGATCCGTAAAGAATTACTGTCAAGATGGGCTTTCTCCCCCGTCCCTCTTTCTGTGCCTCAGTTTGTGAGGTCAAGAGATCACGATTACTTCCAGAGCACGCAGGTGAAATTGCTCTATAAATAGAGCTGCGGTGAAATTGCTGCTAGTGAGCTGAAGGTTAGAATACTTTTCTACAAAATTAATGTTCTAAGCTTGGAAAGTGATACTGTCAAGAAGCCTCTTTCTTTTTGGTAAGATGTTGCAGTGGAAGATCGAAAGTTTTTGCAGTTTGTTGTTCCAGTTTACTAATTCAGCTTTCCTGTTTTTTTTATTGCAATGTAAAAATCTTTATGTTAGGTTTTACTTCCTGAAAGTTGATCTTTTGCTGATAGTGTGAGCGTGTTATAAGTAGAAATTTACTGCTTTGTTCTCATTTTCAGC